TAAGAGTACCCTTTTTCCTTTGGGTCATGCCCTGTCCTCCATTCTCAGTTGTGTGTCTGAGTAAGGCTGGGCTTATCTGCAGCTCCTGCAGTGGGCTTAAGCTCACTAGCATATCTCCCCACCCCATGTAATAGGTTCAGGAATGAACCTATGATCAAATTTAACCAAATGAGAAACACGGACCCCCAGGGCTCTGTGCAGGGGCTTTTGGAGGACGTGTCTCTCCCTTGAACACTGTGTTATGGGAATGTGATACGTGGAACTGTTATTGCCTAAGAGGAAATCCCAGAGCTGCCAAATGTCCACTGTATATAGCCTGAGGAGGCTGCCAGCAATGAGAAAGGCAGGACAGAGACCCAGAGAGAAACTGTATTCTTATTGACATATTTTAAGCCACCGTATCAAGCTTTACCTGAAGTTGTACTATACATTTTAACTTCTCAGTCACATGAACCAATGGATTCCAGTTGTTGATTTTGCAGGTAAGGCTTAGCTCTTCAATGACTTGCAACCAAAAGAATCTTAACTGATAACAGTCCAAGACATTTAATATATCAAAAGTATGAACTATTTTGTCTTTTCTTTTCTTTTCTTTTCTTTTTGAGATAGAGTTTCACTCGCATTGCCCAAGCTGGAGTGCAATGGTACAATTTCAGCTCACCGCAACCTCCACCTCCTGGGTTCAAGTGATTCTCTTGCCTCAGTCTCCCAAGTAGCTGGGATTACAGGCACGTGCCACCATGCCCGGCTAACTTTTTGTATTTTCACTAGAAACAGGGTTTCACCATGGTAACCAGGCTGGTCTCAAACTCCTGACCTCAGGTGATCCTCCCTCCTCGGCCTCCCAAAGTGCTCCCAAAGTGGCATGAGCCACTGTGCCCGGCCAAACTGTGTTTTCTTTACACAATTTTGAAGATTTTATTCTCATGGAGAATGCTGAGGGAAAGGAAAATCATGAAGAATGTTTCTTAGACTTATAAGAACCTTAATATCTTCTAAGATTAAATCTCAGAACTTCATAGTTGGAGGTAGTTTGGGGATCATCTAGTCCTACTAGTTTCTTTTACACAGGGAGTCAATAAATATGTATATGATGAATGAATGAATGAATGTGTGAAGACTGAATGAATGAATGGGTGAATGAGGTAGCTTAACTCTAGACAGACCTGAATTATATTGTTCCATGAAATGACTGTATATTTTAGTCAGTTTCAGCTGGTAGTTGGTAACTAAAAGACAGATGAGGCTTCTGTGTGTATGTTGTTTTTTCTTTTTTTTAATCTGGATATACAAGTAAATGGCAGAACCTGGGAAACCCAATTCCAAATCTAATCTCCTTTTTTGTCCACTAGGGAACATCTCACATCTTCTCACAAAAACAAAGAACACCACAAAGTCCTTTGAGATGACAAGTTCAGATAGTCCTAGAATTTTAAAACTGGGATATGTTATTGAAGTTCATTTCCAAACCAGTTGCTTTCAACCTGAAATGCATTTTCTCATGTACAATGTTAGATTCACAGGCTAGCCAACAAAACAGAACAAAATGCAAACTAGCAAACACATTTTCAACACAAAATATCTACTAGAACCCAACTAAGTGTTAAGTTCTTGGAACATGAGGTCATGAGATGTGTAAGTACAAGAGAAAAAAAAATCAATAAAATGCTCTCCTATTCCTCTTTTTCACTTCCATTTACTAGCTATAAAATTACTTCAAAGGGAAATTTGAAAAATTTAAAAAATCTGTTATTGACCCTGTACTACCGCCCTTTGTGCATTCTTCTCCCATTCTTAGTGTCCTTTTTGTTCCAGGTGCTTGGATGTCCCCCATCTTAAATAATGACAGCTATCATTTTATTGAGCACTTACTGTGAGTCAGGCACTGAGCTAATACTCAAAGAGATGAAGTAATTTGTCTACAGTCATGTGGCAAAGCCAACATGGAGCCCAGCTGCGCTAGTCTCTAAAGCCCATGTTCTTAAACTACCCAGGTCTACTACGCTGGTTGTCCTCCATCCTGAGCCAAGTCCTTCCTACTGTGAGAATCCACCTCCTCCCTTCCTATTACAGCCTAAAGGACTTCATGCTAAAGACTACCAGCATCCCGTCCCCTTCAAACAAAACAGTCATCCCCTTATTGTAGCCAATGTGCCTTAGAAAACAAAAGAGGAGAGCAATCTGAAGTAACTCATGATAACCTCATGTTTTCAGAGGTTGTACATACTATTTCAAAGGGGGTACCTATTATTATAAGTTCACCTCCAACTAGTAGCATTTCAGGTAGCTGATAAAAGTGGGAAGTGAAACAATATGTAGGCAGCAAAAGAGTATATATTTTGGGACAGCATAGGAGGCCAGAGCCGGGCACGGGGCTCACGCCTGTAATCCTAGCACTTTGGGAGCCCAAGGTGGGTGGATCACGAGGTCAGGAGTTCAAGAGCAGCCTGGCCAACATGGTGAAACCCCGTCTCTACTAAAAATACAAAAATTAGCTGGG